ATTTGAAATATTAGCCAAAAATATAAAGTTATGAAGACAGGCTCCTAATAGTTCTTCATGTTTTAGAAAAGCAGGAAATCTCATAAAATATAATTAATTTGTAGAAAATAGAAGGTTTTTCTTTTGAAGTTTCTTTCTTCCATGAGCAAGAAAAAGATTGAAAAGAGATAGCGGTGGTGGAGGGGTACCCCTAACAGGGCCCTGGCACAGTGATTCACCCAGCTTCAGCCAGTCCAGGTCCTGGGTACACATATACTATGCATACTCAAGGGGGTCTCCAGATGTGAACCCAGAACCTGTGGGTCAGTCCAGTAGATCGTCATGTTACCTCTGTGCCACTATCTCCCCCAAAATGCAAAGCTTTAAACTCAGGTTTAAAAAGTAATAACAGGCCCAGCCACAGCAGCATGTACTGGTTGATGCTGGAACTTGTTGGCTCTTTTCTCTGGCCTCTTCTGGAGTTCACTGTCTCTCTTACTTGATAGGCTGAGGCCACATAGGAGGCCTGGGTTCTATACCTGGCCCACCCTAAAAAGCCAGGTGCGGCGCCAAGTGCCCACACAGTCTATTGCTGCTTTGTTTCAGGAACAGAGATTTGTGTTTTTCTTCAACCAGTGACTCATCTAAGAATTCCAACTCACCCCTATAACCTACAAGCCTCCACTTCCAGATGTCCCACTGTTTGGGGCCAGGCCAATGTCAAGAGCTCTGCGTGCTGACCAACAACCTCCTGCTCTCAGAACTACTTATATATAAGGAACCACTGTATCTCGGCGTCCGGAGAAACACTTCGTCTTTCTCTGGGCTGGGTCACTCAAGAGCATACTTAGTAATAAACTGCAGTAATGCTTATTTCTGCAGACCAGGCTGTTTCTGCCAACAGTTCCTTTTTAGGCAGAGTCCCTTCTTGACTAGGTCTCCATGATGGCATCTACCTTTGGTCTGCAGAGTCCAGTTTTAGCAAAGAGTCTTGCTAAGCCAGTTTATCAAGAAACCCCCTCAACCTTGATATCCAGTCAAGCTCCTCTTCCTCAGTCCTTGGGGGCCAGCCGAGTTCATCCTGACAGTTCTCTGTCTGATCTCCAGCTCTGCCCAATGACCATAAATCCATGCTTGTATTCAGAGCTGAGTTTAACCTCTCCCCTATTACATCAGTTCTGAACGAAGTGTTACTTGCCATTTTTAACAAGTACCACTACAGTATTTCTGTTTAACTCAAGCTGAAGATTTCATTTCTCTGAGAATGAAATTGAGGCCTGTTTTATGATTTGTCTGACATCACAGGCAGTTGGTAACTAGCACTAATGCCAAAACTCATTCTGAACACAAATAAGAACATATACTCCTAACATAACCATGATACGCCAGGCACCATTTCAAGAGCTTCACAACACTATGAAATAGGTGGTACAGGGGCCAGCAGGTGACATGTTGGTTAAGGTGCTGGATTCCCACAAGACCTACCATGGTTTGAGTCCTGGACCTGGCTGTTTAAAAAATAATTCTGGGTGCATGTGTGTACATGCCCAAAATCCCAGGTGGAGAATGGTGGAGAAGATATCATGGCATGGCCATCCGTCTTGGGGAGGGGGATGATTTCTCACATTCCCTCTTTCTGTCTCTGTCTCTCTCCAGTGAGTGTCTCTCTCCAGCAAAAACCTTACAAGAAGGAATGGAAAAGAAATAGATGCTACTATTCTCTTTACAGATGAAGAACTGGCCCAAGTTCACACAGGTGGTGAATGCTGGAGCTCAGATGAATCCATGTGCTTTAGATCCAGACAGTGCTTGCTCTTCAGCACCACACTGGACAGGTGCTTGCCCTTAAGCACCATATTCCTCAAAGATTGAGGGGCCATATCTGTCCAGAGTCTTCTTCTTGGTCATCGCAGGGTGGAGTTGCAAAGGCAAGGCAAGAGAGAAAGCAGGGGCCTAATGCACCCTTTTAGAAGGTTTCAAGTCCAATAGACCTTGGCCTCCTTCCTTGGGACTGTGGCTTCAACCCTCTGAGTGTCCACTATTCATCTGGGCAACGGCCATATCTCACTTGTGTGTCAGATGGAGAAAATCAAACAAGTCCTCATCAGTATTAGTTAGTGGTGCTACTATTAATATCAGCTAATGGTGACAACAGTTCTCCTGAAGCCACCCTAGTTTAGTGGCTATTTTTAGATTTGTAGTTCTACTCCTCCCTTTAGTAAATGTTCCTCTACCTTGAACCTCCTTACACATGCTTCTTCCAAAACATTCTATCCAGAAAAATCAAAGCTCCCCCTGCTAAAGTCTTCTGTTTTTCCTCCCGCAAGAAGCCAGTGTAGTTGAAAGTGAGTTGTACTTGCCAGGATCAATTTCCATCTCATAGTTGCTGGTCCACAGGAAGGTTCTGTCATTCAGTGGCGCTGTGCTTCATCCCTGGGGCAGCCTGTAGTCGGCTTGGGCAGATTTCTGCGGAGAGAGCAGCCTTCTTCCGAGCACTGCAGGGAACACTGTGGGCACCATTCAGCCTGCACCCACGAGGGGAAAGATTCACTTTTCCTTCTTTCTTTTTCTTTTTTGTATTGAGTCCCTACAATTACGTCTAGTGACTTTGAAAATCTCAAGGCAGATTTTCTTAAGTGCTGGATTCGAGCATCTGCTTGAATATTTAATATACCTTGATCTAGAGAACAATTGTTTCTTGTTAATCATGCATTCTCAGTTCCGTGGCACTTGGGGTTGTGAGGTGGTATGGTGGTTAACGTACTGGACTCCCACATGGCTGACCATAGTTTGAGTCCCGGACCTGGCAACTTGCTTTCTCACTTTATCTCTCGCTCTCTCTCTTTTATTTATTTATTTTTTTTTGAGAGTTTTTTGTTTGTTTGGTTTGGTTTGGTTTGGTGTTTTGTTTTGTTTTGTTTTTGCTACAGGGTGAGTGCTCTTGCCAGAAAGACAGAGAGAGACAGAGAGAGAGAGAGATAGAAAGCAAGAAATCACCCTCCAGGAGGGATGGCCATGCCGTAATCCATTCTCTTCCATTCTCCTCTTGGGATCTTGGGCACGCACGCATGCACACGCGCCCAGTGTGAGTTTAAGCCATTGGGTCTGGGACTCGAACTGCAGTCAGCTACATGGGAATTCAGGGACATAGCCATTATACCAACTGCTGGTCCCTCTCTCTCTCTTATTCTGTCTCTCTCTGGTCAAATTAAAAGGTAATGATAATGAATTAAATTAAAATTTTAAAAAAATTTAAATGAAATAAAAATTCTGTGACACTTAATGGAAGCTTTGATGAAGAAGTGGCCTGAGTCTAGAGCAGGCAGGAAGGTCCCAGGGGGCATTGGTGGAGGGTTAGGGACAGATGTGTCATTCCAGAAATTGTGGCACAGTCATCCTCCTTCGGGGGGATTTGAGGTGACCTCAGAAACATCTGGTGCTATGCCTGTTCCCCCTTGGGTCCGTGTACATTGTAGTCCCTTTGTGAGTGAACATACGAATAAGGAAAAAGGCAAGGGAAACACATGTCTTCTGTCATGGCGAACCACAGGGGTTTCTCGTTGTGATGTGTGGGTGCTGAGTACTGAGCTGATGCCGAGGGATTTAAAATGCCATAGGGCTCAGGGAAACCAGGGATAGGGAGAGATGTGAGGAATCACTTGGCTTACTCAGGTCAGTGAGCATGCGGGGTCGTGGAATGTCAGAGGAGCTAAAGCTTAGAAAAGACAATTAGCAAAAGTTTCCCTTCAAAACATCTTGGTCTGTGTCCTAAGGCCTCCCTGACATGACAGCTGTGCTTGCCTGCCCGGCTGGCTGAGGCCAGGGGGGCCCATGGTGTGGAGACCCTGCTGGAGGTATTTCCCTCTCTGTCTTTCTATTTCTCTTTCTCTTTCTCACAGAAATTTTAAAAAGGAAAAGTTTCCCCTCTGCTCTCTTTGTTTAATCATTTTTGTTACTGGTTATAACAAAAACTAGTATTTATTTATTAGGTCCCAGGCATTCAAAGGATGTCTCACCCACTCACTCCTGTGATCCTCCCCACAGCACTGCGAGTCGGTTGGGATGTTATTCCCAATATAGAAAAGTAGAAGCCGAAGCAGGGAAATTTGATAATGTTCTCACAGTTTATCCACATATACTCATAAATGGAGCCTTGTTTTAAATTTAAATAGGCTAAGGGATTGTCAGGTGGTGTGGTGGTTAAAGGCACTGGACTCTCACATGGCTGACCATGGTTCAAGTCCTAGACCTGGTGACTCACTTTCTCACTTTCCCTCTCTCTCTCTAGTCAAATTAAAAACAAATAGTAATAAATAAAGATAAATAAAATCAATCTTTAAAAATATAGGCTAAGATCCCACAATTCTATGCTTGTATTAAGTCATTCAACAGGTTTTTGAAACCCACCTATGGCATAGGTGGTTTAGGGGGCTGGATCCCACATGGCCAACTGTGCAGTTCAAGTCTTGGCCCTGGTGGCTTGAAAAACACACAGGCCATGGGTGCAGGCATCCTCCAAATCCCAACAGGATGGAGAAATGGAAGAGAAGGGGTTGTAGTATGACCACATTGCACTGGGGGAGTTGCTTTCTCCTGTCCCTTCTTTCTCTGGCCAGTGCAAACATTCTTTGGGAAAGACAAACAAACAAACAAACAAACCCCTACTGTCTGCATGCCTGCTTCACCATGCAATGAGCTGGTGTCATCGCGCAGACTGTAGATTCAGCAGAGTAAAACGAACTGAAAGCCCTGCCCTGCAGTCACATGACTGCCTATCCCCTAGGGCTGCAGGTTCATCTCGGGGATGAGGGTGGGCAGAGTGGAGAGGGGTTAACGTGGTAATCATGAGGCAGGGAGCTTTGTAAGCGTGTCCTTCTCGGAGTGGGGCTCCCTCGATGTTACAGATCTAGGACATCGATCCAGTCCACACAGAGGGAGTTCTTCCGACCCCACAGCATAGGGCTGCCCCGATGGGCTTGGCTCCTACTCCTGATTCATTTCCGTGTCTGGAGTCCTGCCAGTTTCACTTTCCAGTTTCATTTTCTCTTTTGTAAAGCTGGCTACATAGGAAGAAAGAAAAGAAACTAGAAGCTCCTTTATATATAGGTCCCTGCAGCATTTTTTTGGAGACAGAGGAGGAAGCTTTCTGGAGAGTGCAGCAGCCTGGACCTCAGCCCCTCTGAACAGCTCAGCAGCACGGCAGTCATGAGGTAAAGATCCTCCTTCTCCGCTGATGCTGAGAACAGCCAGTCCAGCTTGTCTTAGCAAATCCTAAGCAGCCAGCTCCCCAGGAACACCAGCTCTGTGTTCAGTTTGTTTCCAGCCTTATTCCGCCTGTATCTCTGTCTGCTGGGAATACATCTTCCTGATGCTGGCTGCTTTCCCTCTGCATTTTCTGCATCACGCAGTCAGACTCCTTACGGGCATCTTCAGAAATGCCTACGGGGACCTGAAAGCTGAGGTTGTTCGGAAGAAAGGGGGCAGAGAGACGGGTAATTGGGCAGATGCTTCATATAAAGACGGGTCTGCGCCTTTGTAAACAGTCCCTCTTTTGTTTTCAATTTGCAAGGATTAAGTCAGAGGTTTTGATACAATTTTTATTTTCTAAACAATTTTTTTCAGCAGATGCTATTGAAGGTGTACTTGAATAGCAGCCCGCGTCCTGCAAGATGACTTTGACATTTACTGTGCTCATTCATCTCTGATGTGCGTTAGAGCTGGTAAACTAACAAATATTTCACCCCCAAATCCTACTGATTGGCTAGTTTTTTCATCTGAAGTATGAACAGGAGATGGACTGCTTGGAGCAAATAGTCCTCATCTCTGAAATCTTCTCAGCCCCCAGAAATGTGAGGTTGCCCTGAATGGTTAGCTCACTGGGTAGGAGGGGTGCTTTCTCGTTTCTCTAGTTAGAAGTTGGAATGGGAGGACCGAGTTCCCCGGCTCAGTCCTAGAGATTTGGAATCCACAGATAACCCTCTGGATGTTACATTGCCCTCCTATAAGGCTCTTGATTCTTCTTGAAATGATAGTTTTCTGCTAGCCTATATGCCTGCCCGATAGGGGAAAATATCATTAAGATGCTTACAGATTTTTGTTTCAGAATCTGTAGAACATTTGTTCCTATTTCTCAGAATTTTAATATGGTATTTTCTAGATTCTTTCCTGTAAGAATGCAGCTCCATCAGCCCTTCATCTCTCTTTCCTTGATTGCTGGGCAACAGGGACTTTCTGGGCCTTGCCCCTGTGCTGGAAGACAGTGGCTCTCAAACTTGAACATGAGGGGATCACTGGGAGAGCTTGTTACAGAGTCCTGGGCTCAACCCCCCAGAGATTCTGCCTTCGTTGGTCTGGGTTGGGTCTGAGCTCCAGCATTTCCAGCGGGCTTCTCCTCAGTGATGCTGAAACTGGTGGCACCGCCAGCTCGGAGCCTGGTGGCAGCGTCACTGTGGCTTTTATTTCACCCAGAGAAGCAGAGGAAGGGACAGTTGCTATGCAAACAGTTGGAACTTCTAGACACTTCAGGTGCACGTCGCACACATCTGAGCCCAGGAAGCGAGTCTCTGAGAACGGTGTCTCAGATTTACCATCGAGATAAAAACACCAACTTGAGCAGGGCAATCCGATGTCTTTTGAATGACTGCTCAAAGGGATTTTTATCTAAGAGCATATCAAATGTCTCTATCCTGCAAATGCGTCCTTGACAACATGTATTTTATAATGGAGCGACTCTCAACTTAATTCACTCTTTGTTTCTCTTATAAAATGGGAAAGGAGCTAAGAGCTCAGGTGCTGAAGAAATCTTCCCGCAACCTCAGTAAGAAGGGAGGGAGATGAGATCGAGCACGAACTTCTCCAGAGAAGGCTGCTGTCAGTGGGATGCAGGATACCAAACCCGGTGGGCAACTGGGCTCCCTCCCTGGAGTGAGCTACTTCGAGAGGCTCAGACAATTCATCTCTTTGCCAAGACATGCCTGGGGCTTTGAAAGAAGGAGGATCTCTCCACAGAAACTTGGGCTTCACTCCTCCTATCCATTTTTCTGCTCATTCTAGTTGGGGTAATCAAGTCAGTACCAGAGAAGAGTAAAACCGAATTTAACATTTTTGTTGTGCCACGTAGAACCCAAAGAAAGGACTGCAGTAACCCCAGGAGGATTATAGAGGCCACTGGGAGCTCAGGGGACCTTGTGAGTTATGTATTAAAGAATATGGAAAGGGCCAGCCATGGTGGTGGTTAGGTCGGCTGGATCCCACATGTCTGACTCTGTGATTTTTATGTTATGAAAAATAAATTTTTTTTAAGGTTTGGGACCAAGGCCCAGCAGTTTGAAAAACATCCTGGGTACCTGTACATGGGTACCCAGGATCCTGACTGTCAGGAAGAATGGAGAAGGGACTGCAGGATAACCTTGCCCCATTGGGGGATGCTTTATCTCTCTCTCTCTCTAGTACACACATGCAGCCTCTGACAATTAAAAATAAATAAAGAAAAGAAAAATAATTTTTGGTGATACAAAGCAACAAATTAAGGCCCCCAATACATTGGCAATCTAGGGAATCCATTTCAGACATGGAATGATTTTTTTTTTTTTAGTTCCTCAACACCAAAGGTATTCGAAGTACAAGTTTTTGTTAATTTGCCTATTTCCTGGTTTGTTCTCTTTGTGTTCTTACATATTATTTATTTTGAGGACCTGCATTGTGGGAATGGAAAATCTTCCAGGTGACTATAAGGGGCCCTCTAAAGGAAAAAGAGCTTTTCCCATTGGACAGAGAACTATCTGCCTTCTTTTTTTCCTTTAACAGGTTTTTGCCTTAGAGCATGTCCACTCACCAGAGAGAGAGAGACAGAGACAGAGAGAAGGAAAGTGAAAAATCACTTCCCGGGGGGGATGGCCGTGCCACAACCCCTTCTCCTCTATTTTCCTTCCAGGATCTTGTACGTGCACACACACGTTCTCAGAGTAATTTTCAAGCCATCAGATCCAGGACTTGAACCACAGTCAGCCATGTGGGAGTAACATAACTGCTATGCCTTCTGATGGCCCCCAAAGCTGGCTGCTTTTAAACCTCCTGTGTATCCCCTGTTATAAAAGCAAACCACAGGAGAATAAAACAAAATTTCATAAGAAATTAAAAGAACAAATGCAAAATCACTAAGAAGTCGACTCAGAGAGACACGGTAAGGGTAGAAATCACCAGCAGGAGAAGAAGAAAAAAATAAAAATAAATTAAAACAAATGCAAAATCACTAAGAAGTCGACTCAGGGAGACACGGTAAGGGTAGAAATCACCAGTAGAAGAAGAAGAAAAAAATAAAAATAAATTAAAGTTTACTGCTAATATATAGCAGGGGACTTCAAAATATTCATGGGATGTTCATAGAAAAATGGAATTTTAAGATAATATGTAGGTCAGTCAGGTGGCCTAGTAGTTAAGGGAGCTAGCTCCCATATGACTAAGAAGGTTTGAATGCAGGCCTCAGTGGCTTGAGTAACACACTGGGTGGGTATGTGTGTATGTCCCAAATCCTAATGGGATGGAGAAATGGACCCACTAGAGGGTGCCTTTTCGTTTTCTCTGTCTTCCTCTCTTCAGTGAGCACATGTGTGCTCTAGCAAAATTTAAAAACAAACAAACAAACAAACAAAACACATATGCCAAAACACTGAAAGAAAAAAAGGAGTTCATTCTTCTTTGATATGAGCTAATAGGCTTTTTGCTATTGTTGTTGTTTACTTTTTTCTTTCTTCCACAAGCAGAGAGACAGAGAGATAGAGAGACAGGCATGCCCAACAGGGTCTCCACTGGCCTTAGCCAGCCCTGCATCATGGGCACCCAGGTGCCTGATCTGTCCAGGGAGATCTCCCGTTATAAACCCAGATTCCTCCTATGTGGGACAGCCCCCTTGAGTGCCATACTGCCATTGTGCCAGCCCAGGACTCAGGTTAACAGCCTTTAAAAGGAAATTTGAGGGGAATAGCAGATGGGGTAATGGTTGTGTTACTGGGCTCCCACATAGTCAACCATGCTTCGATTCCTGGGCCTGGCAACTTGAAACTCAAGCTAGGCACGTGTGTGTCTGTGTGTGTGTCTGTGTGTGTATGTGTGCGTGTGTGCCCAACATCCCAAGAGGAGAGTGAAGGAGAAGAGATTGCAGTGTGGCCATCTACCCTGGAGGTGATTTCTCACTTTCTGTCTCTCTGTCTCTCTCTCTCTCTCCAGTGAGCACACATGCCCTATAACAAAAAAACTCTCTCAAAAAAGAAAAAGAGAGAGAGAGAGAGAATTTGAGAGAGTGTTTAAAACTGGGAGGGGAAAGAGAGAAAGAGAAAGAGAATTTGGTTTACTATGCTTCTATTTTTTTCTTTGTTTTTTTTTTAATCACAAGTAATGAAGGAAGGGGAAAAATGCTTTATCCTTTCTTTTGTTAATTTGCTAGTGGGCACATGCAGCCACTGGAGAGAGACAGAGAGAAGGAAAGTGGAAAAGTGCCCCCTCACCTTGGGAAATGGCCGTGCTGCCTTCTCTTCTCCTCCATCTCTCCCTCCTTTCCAGATTTTGGTCACGCCCACACAAAAGGTGCTTTTTCAAGCTGCCAGGCCTAGGACTCTACCAGTGAGTCGGCCTTGTGGACCTTGCCACCTTACCCTCCATGCCACCAACAGGCCCAAACATGTTCCTATTTCTTTTTTTTTTTTTTTAAACAAGGGCACTGGCCCTTTTTTTTTTTTTTTTTTTTGGAGAGGTTTTCACTGTAGGGCGCGTGCGCTCGCCAGACAGACAGAGAGAGACACAGAGACAGAAAGCGAGAAATCACCCCCCAGGGGGGATGGTCACGCCGCAATCCCTTCTCCTCCATTCTCCTCTCGGGATCTTGGGCACGCACGCACACGCGCCCGGCGTGAGTTTTAAGCCACTGGGTCCGAGACACGAACCGCGGTCGACTACGTGGGAGTCCAGCGACATAGCCATTACGCTAACTGCTGGTTCCCATGTTCCTATTTCTTGATGGATGAATCTATGCTGTGTCTTTCTCTGCTTTCTTTTTAATTGGCCGGAGGATCCATGCGCTTGCTGAGGGGAGAGAAAGAGAAAGCAACCAGGCCCTCTTCGTGGAGCTTCGTCACACCACAATCCCTTCTCCATTTCTCCCTCCCTTCAGAATTTTGAGCACACACACAAGTGCCTGCATGTCTCAAGCCACAGGGGCCAGTACTTGAACCGTGAGACTGGCCATGTGCAATTCAACCACCTCAAGCACCAGGGCCACAGGCTGTCCTAGTAATGTCTCCCGAAGTGACCATCTTTTTGTTTTTCCCTTCAGTGACACCATGAGGAGTTCTTTGGAGAGCAGTTTACGACAACTGAAATGTCATTTCACCTGGAACCTGATGAAGGGAGAAAGTTCCTTGGAAGACTTTGAAGACAGAGTGCTTAACCAGTGTGAGTTTCAGAGCAGTGACTTCAGAGCGACAGTGTGCAACATCCTGGCCTACCTAGAGCACCACAGAGGCCAACATGAGGCCGCCTTGGAGCACCTACGGCAGGCGGAAGACTTAATCCAGCAACAGCACGCTGACCACGCAGAGCTCCGAAGTCTGGTCACCTGGGGAAACTACGCCTGGGTCTACTATCACATGGGCCAACTCTCAGAGGCTCAGCTTTACCTCGACAAGGTGAAACGGGTCTGTGAGAAGTTTTCCAGTCCCTACAGAATTGAGAGTCCCGAGATGGATTGTGAGGAAGGGTGGGCACGGTTGAAGTGTGGAGGAAATCAAAATGAAAGGGCGAAGGTATGTTTCGAGAAGGCTCTGGAAAAACAGCCAATGAACCCAGAATTCTCCTCTGGCCTGGCCATAGCTACCTACCGTCTGGACAGCCGCCCACCACCTCAGGACCCCATTGACTCTCTGAGGCGAGCCATTAGGCTGAACCCTGACAATCAGTTTGTGAAAGTCCTCCTGGCCTTGAAACTTCAGAAGATGAATGAAGAGAGTGAAGCCGAGAGGTTAGTAGAAGAAGCCTTGGAGAAAGTCCCGCGGGAAACAGACGTCCTTCGCTGTGCAGCCAGGTTTTATCGCTATAAAGAGGCCCTGGATCAAGCTATCGACCTGCTTAAAGAGGCTTCAGAACGCATGCCACCCAACGCCTATCTGTATTGCCGTATTGGGTGCTGCTATCGGGCCAAAGTCCTCCAAACACTGCACAGAGGAGAGGACAGAAGGTATGGGAAAAGAGCGAGGTTGCCGGAGCTCATAGGACAGGCCGTGGATTATTTAAAGAAGGCTGATGAGGCCAATGGAAATCTCTACCAGATCTGTTCCTTTCTGGCAGGCCTCTACTCTCTGGCAGGTCGGTTTGAAGAAGCCGAGTATTACTTCCAAAAAGAATTCAGTAAAGAGCTCACTCCTGCCGAGAAGCAAATGCTGCATCTCCGGTACGGCAGCTTTCAGCTGTATGAAATGAAGTGCGAAGAAAAGGCTATCTACCATTTTACAGAAGGCATGAAGATAAGCCAGGGAGGATCAAAGCAGAGAGAAAAGATCAGAACCAAGCTGGAAAAAATTGCCCAAGCACGGCTTTATAACAATGAAGCAGATTCCGTGGCTTTGCATCTCCTGGCATTCCTTCAGGAAATGAAGAGCAAAGAAGCGTGGCAAAATGATGCAGACGCTCGGAGGAGATTGGACGCTGGAAAACGTATCCCGTCCACATCTTTAGCTGAGACAGAGAATGAGAAATAGGGATATGGTACCCACAGGGCTACTGCTGGAAGGGCTGAAACCCCTCCAGACTGGGTATTCAAAATATTTAATGACCATTATGGCGGAAGCTGGACTGAAACCCTGGCCGCAGTCCTGGGTTGGGGCTACAGGGAAACCCTGCTGTATCGGATGTTAACACTTGCATTGTCAAATTGTGAGGAAACCCCGTGAGGTCTGAGAAGGGTTAGTAAAGGGGCTGTTGCTCAAACTACCCTCTTAGGTGCCGTTGGCACTGGGACATTCCCATGGTCACCTTCAGTGAGGCAACTCCTTGGGCTTGGCTCTGTGTTTATGTAAAGCAGCCAGATCCCTCTCATCTGTAACCCTGAGGCCTGTCTTTGCAACTTTTTTCCATCCTTGGAATGACTTTATATCCTGTACCGGTTAGTCCTGCAGAAACATGAAGGTACTGTTTCTATCAGAAGGCAGAGGTACCAAAGTCTAGACAGGGCTTGGTCTCCTCCCTTCCTGTCACCTTTGTCCCCTTCCTCCTCCTCAGCCAGTCCTCATTATCCTGCACAACATGAGTTCAATCGTCTCCTTCACTGATGTGGCAAAATAATTCACAAAGAAAAAGAGAAAAACAGCTCAGCTCTAGAAGGGACACGCTTAGGAGAAACACTGGGTCAGCTATCCAATGCACAAGACTTTCAGAAGGTACATGGCGAGATTTCTCTTCCACTCAGCCATCTCTGTAATCATAATACAGCATGTAAAGAAAGAAAAAGGGGCCAGTTGTGGTGGTGCAGCCAGCAGGGTGCTGTTGCATGATGCTGGAGACCATATGAGAATGCTCCAAGTTCAGTTCCCAGGTCCACCTGAACATGCCAAGTGCACCCATGATCCAGGTTGGCTGCAAGTCCAGGGGGGAGGTCATGGCATGAAGCCTTGTAGAGGGTGCCCCATCTTTCCCTCTTTCTCTCTCTTGAAAAATAAATGCATTATTATATATATTTTTTTTTTTTCAAATAAAGAATGACAGGCCAGCCTGTGCTTAAGTGAGCTGGATCCTACATCATCAACCATGTGGTTCAAGTTCCAGACCTGGCAGGTTGAAAAACATGCTGGGCGTGAGTGTGCATGCATCCACAATTCCAAAAGGAGAAAGAGATGGGAGAGACGGGATCGTGGTGTGACTATTCCCCATTGAGGGTACTTTCTGCTTTCCTCCCTCTCTCTCTGTCTCTCTCTGGCAAGCGCACATCCCCTCCAGCAAACTTTTTTTTATTTATTTATTTAAATGGAGAGGGATTCTGTACAGTATGCTTGAACCCAAAACAATGCATTTCTTTAAAATTTGTTTGGAAAATATATATCTCACCAGTAGGGATAGGGTAAAAGTGAACAAAAGAGAGAAAGAGAAAAGAAATCTTGGTTTATCATTGTAGATTACAATTATATGGAGAACTTTTCAGGTTTTTAGGCACTATTAGGAAGATTTCTTGGCAAGATGGAGACTCACTTTTTTCAAAACTGCTTTACTGAGCCCAGGTTTAAGATGATGGGGGAGCAGCAGGATGGGGGACCAGCTGGTGACTGAGGGCCTGGCGGAAGGTCATGGAAACAAGGTTAATACTAAAGGGGGTGCTTTTTGTTCCACTAGAAAAGTCACATAATAGGCCATATGAACACTTCTTTTACCTGAAAGTCTCAGGGAAACCACAACATTTGTGGTATCCACGGGCGATTAGGACTTTCTGGGTGGAACCAAATGGTCAAGACATCAAGGCTAGTGTGACGTCAAAATAGAGTCAGCTGACCCAGCATGAAACCCTCAGCCCCTCTGGGTTGGAAATGTTTGCCTATTGGAACAGGTTAAATTTAAGTATGCGTTAACTTTTTTTTAATTAAGCAACTAAAGGGACTGGCAGATGGCATGGTGGTTAAGGGAGATGGACTCCCCCATGGCTGACTGCTGCTCGAGTCCCTGACCAGATGGCTTACCTTCTCACTTTCTCTTTCTGTGTGTCCCTCTGTGGTCAAATTTAAATAAGTAAGTAAGTAAATACATAAAGCTAAATAAAATAATTCTAAAAATATTAGAAAGATGGCCTGGCCCCATAAATAGTTCTGCCTGGCAGAGGGGATTAGAGAAGACATATGAAAGAATTTATAACATAAAATAACCTGGGCTTTTCCAGCCCTGCATTGTAATCAGTAGAGATTGCAAAAGAGCAACCACACCAGAGGCTTATCTTGAGAAAGACCTTGAAGGAAGAAAAAGAGACTGATCTTTGTTGGCAGATGGTATGTCACGTGGTAGGCAGGGCTGAACTGAGAAAGGTTTATGTGTGACTAGTGTGCTGGGCATTTGCTTTTCAACAATTTGAGTAGCTGTCATGTAAATATTTTCTCAAAAATATTTAAAACCATACTGTTCCTGCTGTTATAGAGTTGTAAACAAAATTATACAAAATTATAAGAAATATTTTAAACATTATCCTTAAAATTCAGTATTTTGAAATTTTGAAAATTCTTTATTAACTGTCAAGAACTATGGAGTGTGAGCAAAAAAACTTTTTTGATATGTAAAGTAAATGTGGAAAAATGTAAACTTAATTAATTAATTAAAAATAAGCAATTAAAATATATAATTCAAGGTTTTTTAAAATTAATTCCAACTACTGTAACAATGATATTCATGTTATTCTCTGTGTCAAAGATACTGTATGCATTTGAGATCATCAGTATACAGTTTGGATTCCTGAACAAAGTCATCAATTTTGTTAATAAATAACTTGGATATGATGGAATTAAAGCAGTGTTCTGGTTTCTCTGACATTTTGCTAAACCCTGAAATGTTCAGCCTCAGTTACTGATAAATGAAATATTGCACAGTGTGAACTGGCTTCAACTAAGCCATGCTAGTCTAACATTATAACCACTGAACAGAGCATTTTTTCTCTCCAGCCATAAGAGTCCAGGACTTCAGTTAAGACTCTGACCCCCGCCACTCCATACCCCCATGCACAGATACCCAGCCCTACCTTGGCAGTCCATGGGCTGCTGCCCTCATCTCTTACAGTGAATGAATGTTAAATAAATTAATTAAATGAAAAAAAAAAACCTCATGCTTTCATCGCGTTGTCTCTCTTCTGATCTTTACCATGAAAAATGAAAAAGTATTGCTAATTCTGTTTTAGACACTGTCTTGTAGACAATCCAAACACATGCTGCAGAGTGTTCTTTACGTAAATAAAGAACAAGAAACAAGAGGCCCTGAAATCTCCTGTCTTTCAAGAGGACTTTGGTGGAAAATACAAATCACACCAGCTGCAATGGTAAACTCATTCCATTGGGCTGAACTGGACCAGTGTATGTTTCAGGGGAAATTCTTGGCTCTACCCCCATTTTCTATTTTTCTTTTCTTTTTTCTTCCTCCTTTTTTTTTTTTTTCTTACAGGGTGTGTGCCCTCTGGAGAGAGAGAGAGAGAAACCTATTCCATGTGCCCTCTGGAGAGAGAGAGAGAAACCTATCCCCACCCCACCCCCGCCCCAGGTAGGTGGTCATGCTGTAACCCTTTCTCCTCCATTCTCCTCCCATGGTTATGAACATTCTGCATATGCGCCTAGTGTGTTTTTCAAGCCACTGGGTCTGGGACTTGAACTGCACAGTCAGTCATGCGGATCCAGCACCTCAATCACTCAGCTGGCTGGCCCTCCTTGTCCTGTTTAAACTTAGGATTGTCCTTGTTCTAATGGCCACACTCCTATAGCAGGCCCATTGGTTCTCACAGAGCTTTTCTCTCTGTTCCTTTTACCTTTCTGATTTTCTTCTCACTTTCTCCCAAAACAGTTGCTTGTTTGGTCTTCTGAATTTCTTTTTGCAATGAATACTTTATCAAGGTCTCCTGGTTGGAAAGGGTTCATTCCCACCACCCCTTCCAGTTTGGGAGGTGTCTCTTAACATCTATTGCATTCAGCCCTATGGATGTCATATTGACCTGTTCTCTGGGGCTTTGGAATCAACAGCTGGGTACCTCCTGTAAGAATGCTAAATGCACTCCAACCAGGCAGCAGTGTTTCCATCTGCTTCCTGTTGCATCTCCTGGTTCTTATTGACAGCACTGCTGGGGAACTCCCTTTTTTCAGACCTTCAGAATACAACTCTGATAATGTTCCAATCAAGGCATCCCCCATTATTTGGGTTCCAGTGAGGTTCTTCTAGGGGGTTCTACCCCAGCCAGGTCAGACATCCCATCCAGGTTTCCCTGATGGAGGTGCCATGCCTCCTCATCAGCTTTATCAATCACCAATCTCCTTTCATTGGCAGTTGGCATGGTATTTAAGAGAGCGTGTATGTCTGCCCAAGCAGGATGATGGGTGGAATATATGCCAGCTAATAATTCCACCATCCTCTGGGGATCATTTCAAGGAGGGCTGGAGCTTTTCCAGTTCAACAAAGCTGATGTCGAAAGGGAGTGTCCTAAGGCCGTTCTTTGTCACTGAAGCCTCCCATGGGACACTGTCATAGTAGATATTGCCCTGCCCCATGATGATGAGCACTGGCCAAAATGGGAGCCCTGATGGGTCTTAAAGGAGTAGATCTTTCTCTGCTCTTGCCCATATGGGTCAGAATGCGGGGGAGCAAGTACTCCCTGCTAGTGACTCTACAAGCACTTCTTATGGGGAAGGGAGTCATATGGCCTGTGTGGTCAGGTGGTGGGGAGGCATCTCTGGGAAGGAACAGGACCTGTGCCTGTCCTGGCCCTGGGAGGAACCTGGGAAGTGGATTTAAAACTGTCATGGTTAGGGCAAGCAGATAGTGTGGTTGTTGCAGTGCTGGAGTCCCACTTGGCTAACCACGGTTGGAGTCTGGACCTGGAGGCTTACTTTCTCACGACCAGCCCCCCAGCCCCGAAACCCTGTCTCTCTCTGGTGAGTGCATGCACCATATAGCAAAAAATTTAAAAATAGTAGCAATAAATAAAATTAAATAATTCTTTTTAAAAACCTGCCAGGTTTGTCACTCTTTCTCTTTCTTTTCCTCCTGATTTGGGAGAGTGATGATAACTTTAGTTAGATCTTTGTCCTTCTGAAACAGCAGTCAGAACCCCTGTTGTGTAGCAACATGAAGATTTGAACATAAGCCAGAACAGCCCTTCTTCAAGAGACAGACAGCTCCATGGCTCCTACGATCTAGCCATTTGGGGAGAAAGGAAGATGTCCCACTGATAACTGGGCCTCCAGCATCCAAAACTCGCGGGATTGAACTTCCAAGTTTGGGAAGAAACCGACCATCCACCAGATGACTAGAAATCGCTGCAGGACCACAAGAAATATGGGGAAGCAGGAAAATACCTCTCCCACAAGGGAAAAGGATAGCTCCTCTTTATCCACACACAGTTCAATGGAAATCATGGAAATGTCTGATAAAGAATTCAGAACATTCATAATGGCAAAGCTAACAGAGATGGAAGAGAAGAGAGACAAGGAACTGCTGAAGAGGAAGGAGAAAGGAGTTGAAGAGTTCCAGGAGGTGAGGAAATTCATGCTAGATCTAAAAGAGGAATTTCACACTTTACAAAAGAATCAGATGGAACTGTTAGAGATGAAGGCTATAATACAAGAAGTCAAAATCTCCCTTGAAAGTATTAAAAGCAGACTAGATCATACAGAAAATAGAATCTCTAATGTAGAAGAGAAAATTGGTGGCCTAGAAAAATCCACTGCGAAGACTGAGAAAATGGCCCAAAAATTTGAGAATAATATGCGAGAAGTACTAGATACAATTAAACGTCCAAACATCCAGATAATAGGCATCCCAGAAGGTGAAGAGACTCATAAGGGCATTGATAATCTATTCCATGAAATCTTACAAGAAAATTTTCCAAACCTGGAGAGGCACTCAAAGATTCAGTCCCAAGAAATACAGAGGACCCCAAATAGAATCAACCCAAGAAGATCTTCTCCAAGACACATTATAGCCAGATTGACCAAAACCACAGACAAAGACAAGATACTAAGACTGGCAAGAGAAAAAAGGCAAGTTACCTACAAAGGGTATCCCATCAGACTAACGGCAGACCTCTCATCGGAAACAATGAGAGCGAGGAGAGAATGGGAAAATGTATTCAAAGTATTAAGGGAAAAGCAATTTCAACCGAGAATTCTGTACCCAGCAAGGTTATCGTTCATTTGGGAAGAAAAGACACGAACTTTCCCAGATAAACAAAACCTGAAAGAATTTACCAGCACCAGACCGGATCTCCAAGAAGTTCTTAAGGGAGTGCTATGTCAGTAAAATTAAATGCAGACACACAGAAATAAGAGTTCAGAAACTAAGAAAATGGGCAACTTAATTGTAGGGCCAAAAGCTGGAGTTGAGTATTACATCCCAGATTTCAATCTGGAACATCGAACCTCAACAGATACAGAAGAAAGATTAAGTACATGAGACTGAACTGATGAAACAGTATTCTACGACTTGACTAAAATATTGCTGCTTTTCTTCTAAGCTTTGTTGTCTGGTTTTAAGGACTTTTGTCCTGTCTTCAGCTATCAATAGATTCATGTTCCGACTATTTGAACAGAATACTAACCTGTTTCTAGGCTTTAAGTTTCAAAGAAATATCCTTACCAGTTCAAAACTGCTTTTCTTGAAACCATCGGCTGATCTTGCTATTGAAAGTAGTTAGATTACTTATGATATTGTGTGACCAACGAAATGTTGGGGGAAAAGGGATTGAAGACAACTGTAGACAGCAGAGATAGTGTAATAAGAGAGTGGAATAGGGCAGAGGGCTAGACATGGGGTAAAAAACATATATATGAAAGTAGAAATGGAATATTATGGATGATAACATGCATTATTAAGCCACTATATAGTATATTCTAGATGGGAAACCACATTTAGAATGTTGTGATGATGCTCAGGGAATGAATGTAAATTAATAAAAAAAAAAAATTTTCAGAAGAAAAAAAAAAAAGGCATTAGAAATACCTATTTGATGACTGCAGTTAAGCTATATAGCCCTAGTTAGGTGCTACGTTATAGTATGTTCATTCTATTCACTGAGGTTTATGCCTAAAGTCAGACTTGTGTTCATGGATATGTATAGATCAGCTGTGCTTGCTATTGAAAATATTTAGATTTATTAAGATATTTAGTGAAACAATAAAATGGGGGAGGTATAGAAAGCAACAATAGATATCAGACACAGTGTGGGAGGAGGGTGGGAGATGGCAGAGGGTGAGATAGGGAATCAAGGATGGGAAAAAAGGCAAAATATACAGAAAACAAGAAATGGAAAATGATTTGTTGACAATAACACATGTTGATGTGCTTGATTGAGCCAATATACAGTGTATTCTCAATGGAAAAATCTCATTTTATATGCTATAATGATGTACAGTGAATGAATGTAAATAAATAAAGAAAAAAAGTAAAAAAAATAATTTTGAACATAAGAAATTCCACCCCAAGTTTACCCAACATCTGATGAAACAATTCTAGATGTAATATAGTATATTAAGTCAAAGATGCATTGAAGAGTCACCTCTTCTCTCATTTAAAACAGACATTAGTCAGGCACTGATAGAATTTTTAAAAAAAAAATCATTTTCTTAGTCATGAGCCTATAGCTATGCAGCTAAAACTCATCCCAAGACCAGTCAGCTAAAATTCATCCCAAGAGACTCCAGACAGGATGCATACCATCCCTCCCATCCTTGAAGCACAAGCATTGACACAGATGTGGGGCCTCCCAATACAACTGGTAAGGGAGAAACTGGTAAGAGACCTTTCTCTTGCTACTTCCTCGAATCACAGAAAAATTGGCCCAAAGGGCCAGCATGACTAAGCAGCGCAATTGACCGGGTAAGAGGGCCTAACAATTCCTTCATTATCTAACCAGGCCTGAGAACTATGTTCTCTGGAGTTTTATGAATAATTACAACACAGCTAGAAAGTATTAGAAAAAAAATGAAGAAAAGACTCTCTCAGGGTAACATCATTCCTTCAGAGCTCGAAGAATACATTTGCAATTACCTATCCTTCCATGACCAACTTAGACATCAGATAGCTACACTGCTCGGAGAGCTCTCCAGGACTTGCAGCCTATATTTCTTGTGGGGCAGAAAAGAAACTCAAGTTCATTGATTGGACTCTTAGAAAATTTGGGAGCTATCGAGTAAACAAAGAGAATTCAATCCAAATCACTGGATATATGTTGTTTCCGATTAACATCAGAATGTTTTTGGAATAGTATGAAACGTTTTTCATATCATGCAGTCTCATACATCCCATATCAAACCTTCCTGGTGATATTATTAAAATGCAGTTCTGGGACCAGCAGTTGGCATAATGGCTATGTCACTGGACTCCCATGTAGTCAACTGAGGTTTTAGTCTTGGACCCAGTGGCTTAAACTCATGCTGGGTGTGTATACATGAGTGCCCAAGATCCTGAGAGGAGAATGGAGGAGAAGGGATTGTGGTGTGGCCATCCTCCCTGGGGGGTGATTTCTCGCTTTCTGTCTCTCTGTATCTCTCTGTCTTTCTGGTGCACACATGTGCCCTATAGTAAAAACCTCTCCGAAGAAAGAAAAAAGAAAGAGGGAAGAAAAAGAAAGAAAGAAAGAAAAAAAAAATGCAGTTCCCTGGGCCCCACCCTGGATCAGCAGTCAGATTCCTGGGAGTGCGTTTACATTATCTCAACCTGTAGTTTCAGAGTCCTGGCTTTTGTTATTGAACTCAAACCACTTGTATGGGTACCATAAACTAAACTGTAGACAAGAGGTTTGGTAAAAGAAAGTAAGACTTTATGCCATGTATGAAACAAGAACAGATAACTAATGCTGAAGAGTCCAATCTCTCCCAGGAGTTCCATGCATGCATTTGAAAAATTGTTTATTTATTTATCTACCTATTATTATTTTTAATTTGTTACAGGGCACACATGCTCACCAGACAGAGAGTGGGAAAGTGAGAAAACAAAAGTAAGCCACCAGGTCAGGGGCTCGAACCACAGTCAGCCATGTCAGAGTCCAGTGCTGTAACCACCATGCTACCTGCATTTTTAAGGGTAAGAGTCTCAGGTGCATGATCAACCTAATGCTTACTTCAAGAGTATGAGACTGTGCTGGGAAGCAGTCATCAGTTTCTTTTGTCATTCAGCCTAGGGTCTATGTGCTCCCAGCCAGCAATTTCAAAAAAAAAAAAAAAAAAAAAAAAAAAAAAAAAAAAAAAGCACCTTACAATTTGGACTATAATTTTATATTTCTTTTAATTGGGAGTTTTTGGTTTTGTTTTATTTTTCTATGGCCCTGACTTATGACTGATATTGCTTAGTTTTACCATCAGCTCAGCTATGGTGTTAATTCCTACTTCTGAGAAGCGGATTCCTGTAATGAAAGGAAAGAAACAGAAGGATAGAGGCTACCAATTACTTGGGAAGAATCTACATTGTTTCATTAAAATAACACAGAGGTTCCAGAGTGGTTGGAGGAAGAAAGAGGCTGGAAGAAGCTATGGCTACATTGTACATTCATTCCCCTGGATGGTCACGCCGCAATCCCTTCTCCTCCATTCTCCTCTCGGGATCTTGGGCACGCACGCACACGTGCCCGGCGTGAGTTTTAAGCCACCGGGTCCGGGACACGAACCGCGGTCGACTATGTGGGAGTCCAGCGACATAGCCATTACGCTAACTGCTGGTTCCCACTGTGAACTATTATAGAAAGTATCTTCTAACACTTACAACCTCCCTCCCCCACCAACACAGGCAGGCATATCAAAAGCCTGGACTCCAAGGTTTTATTTGGGTCATTAAAACATCAATCTCACATCCCCAGCAGTTTAGGAAAATATTCTACTTTAAGTTCTCCTCTTAGTAATTTTCAGCTTGGAACATTTCTATTCTATGTATTTATTTTCAACAGGAAAGGGAAACTGAGAACCCAGCCCTTTCTAGAGGGTTTCTGCTCAGTTTCACTTGAGCTGTTATTGTTTGCCAGCCCTCCCAGATCTGGACACTGAGTTTCGTTTTCCTCAAGTGGATGATTTAAAATCAGTTTCACTTTCCAGTTTCTTCTTCCCTTTCATGAGGACAATTACTCACTGAAATGAGGGAGAAAAGATCAGGTGATGCCTTCCCTGCTCCGCCTCCCCGTTATATAGGTCCTTTTACCTGAGACAGACCAAGACTCCTGGAGGATAGAGCCCCCTGGTCCCCAGCTTTCCAGAACAGCAGACATGAGGTGAGACAAGAATCTGTAACGGAGCTTGCTCTTAAACGCCAATTGTAAGCTGAGCTTCTTACTGCTCAGGCGTGTGTCTGAGCTATCCCGTTGCTTATGGATTCATCATGCCTTTATGAGGTTGGGCTTCTATCAGTTGTTCATTTTGTGTTGTGTTGTGTTTTTGTTTGCTCCTTTGTTTTGTTTTGTTTTTCATTCCCTGTGACTCTTTCCAGCTTACCGTCAGGCTTGCTAAATTTCTCCAACTCTTCACTAGAGGGAGCCGGGTGCTGGGATTCCAGAGGGAGGCTTGAAGAATGGAAAGATCCACTCAGTTTGCTGAGTCAAAGCTAGACCTAAGGGGAATTCTCCTCGCAGGACTTTTTGTTTTTGTTTTCTTGAAAGGATTAAGTCAGAAGATATTTTCCGGCAATTTGAAAGAAAGCATTTATTTTTCAGCAGATATGGTGAATGATGGAATCAGTCCTGCAAACCTAGTTCATTAAAGAATTTTGTCCTGAATTATTTGATCAATTTAGGGGAGTATGGGGGAAGAAAAAAAATCTTACAGACAGGCTTCCCCCTCCCCCCATTTCTTATGTAGAAATAATACCCAAGGCTTAGAATTTAGTTTTCATACTGTAGTAAATTCTGGTGAGCAGCAGAGAATAATTTCCCCTATAAAACAAAGTGGCCTGATCTCAGATCTAATAACCTCTGGTCTAATCTTTAATGATGGATCTGGGTCCTTGGAGATGGGGGGGACTAGGTAGGAAGGCACACAAAGGCACTGGGGGAGAACAGACATAGTTTCAAGAGATAATGGTGATAAATATTTATCGAAATTAAACTGTGCACTTAAAACTATTGCCTTTTATTGTATGTAAACATATAATCTCATTAAGCTTGGTCTTTAAAAAAATGCATACAGAACTGCTTGAGCTCTGCCATTGCATAGAGGCTCTGAGAAAACGAAAAGAAAAAGATACCTTTTCCACCAAACACCTATGGGGAAGGGTTGAGGGTTTGAGAGCTTGATCTGGAGAGGGAAGATCCTACTGACCAGCAGGGAGAAAGCAAAGGGAGACTGGCTGCCCTACCCTCAGCCCCAAGGATTTGCAGCTGCTCTGCGAGATCATACTTGGGCATAGGATAGGGTATTGAGGGCTCTTTGCCAAGGGTCATGTTAATTGTGTCTGCATAAGAGGAGTCGACCAGCAAGCCACCCTTTCCCAGTGTCTGGTAACTAGACACATGAGAGGTTTTGCAGAGGCCTGTGTTTGTGTGTGGCTAGAGCCCCTGGCCTGAGGAAGCCTGAGGAAGCCTGAGGAGGCTTTCTGGACCAGGCTGGACTGAAGCTCACATTAGGTGCTCCTATTCCCAAAGGCCGTAGGGACCGAGGCAGATTGGGCTGCACCCCAATGCAGTGCCAAAACATTACCAAAAGGGGATGTTGCCATAAAACATCGGCAGCTGCCGGCTGAGAAGCACCCTCTTCTCCCCAGTCACTGGGAAACTCTGTGTCCCTTTCCATACTCACAAACTCACTGAAGAGTGTAACACTGATGCACCAACGACAGCAGTGGTAACATGCTCTGTGTGGCCTGTGGCCGGCAGTGCTCTCTGTGAAGGGCCGTTCTCATGTCTCACACTACCTTACCGACAGGCTCAGGAAGAGGTCACTGCTTTTCTGTTATTCACTTCATTTTCTAAATGAGCAAAGGAGGGCTCAGAAGGACAAAGTACTTGTCTAGGATGTCACCAAGAGCAGGTGTCAGAGTAAGATTGTTAATGGTGGTGCCCAACTCCAAGGCTGAGCATCTGTCAACTCTGGCCACAAAGGCCCAAGTGGGAATGATCACTTCCGAGTGACTGAGGGTCAGGGACTAGCAGATCCATGCACACTGTCTGGAGAGTGAGGACCATTCTTTGATGGTGACTCACCTTTTAGAGTACCCAGACCATACCTTTGATGAAGGTGAAGGGCATCTCCACAGGGGATAGCTTTCTATAACTCGAGTGGAGGCAGAAAGAAAATCCTCCCCAAGGCATTTTAAGGATGAAGAAATGAGGTCTGGGACTCAAACCACGGTCGACTACATGGGAGTCCAGGGACATAGCCATTACACTAACTGCTGGTCCCTCTCTCTGTGTTTCTGATGAGTGCATGTGCCCTCTGTCGATTAAAAATAAAAAGAGTATTTACAGAAACTTTCAAAAACACATATGAGTATTTACAGAAACTTTCAAAAACACAAACTTTCAAAAACACACACTAGTAAGTGAAGATGTCTTTGTAAGAGGAGTAGCATTCATTTTTACAAAAGCAACAGCATTTTCATGCAAATCTCCTGAACTCTAGCTCTGGGATTTATGTTCTTCTTACTCAAGTCTCAGGACTCCCCATCCAATAGACTTTGCTCCATATGTTTCTTCAAGAAAGGATGAGGTATCAAATACCCTGCTAAACTGGACACCATAGGGAGGGAGGCTTAGGAAAAATGCCACTTTCAATAAGTTTTATAATCATGAAGCCACATGCACAGTTGGCTTTCTTCCTGAACAAACTCTTGAAGGTTCTCATAAATGACTTAGCATGATCAGCTCTGCTTTGGTAAAGTGATGATACAGATGGATTGCTCTGAGAGTCCCATACTCGAGAGAGCATTCACGTGTCCAGAAACATCGAGTGTGCTTTTCTGCTTGCCAATCAGTATCCCCTGCAGCTGATAGATATGACAGGATTGGAATATTTCTTCTTGGAGGAAGAATCTTTTTTTTTTTAAGAGAGATTTTTGCTCTAGGGTGTGTGCACTCGCCAGAGAGAGATAGAGAAAATGAATGTGAGAAATCACCCCCCCAGCAGGGATGGCCATGTCGCAATCCCTTCTCCATTCTCCTCTCAGGATTTTGGGCATACATGCACACATGCCTGGTGTGAGTTTTAAGCCACCAAGTTCAGGACTCAAACTGTGGTCAACTATGGGGAAGTCCAGTGACATAATAATTATGCAATCTGCTGGTCCCATTGGAGGAAGATTCTTTATCAATAAATGCTTAAGGTTAAATTTAATAAGATCCCTCTGGTACATTGATGTGTCAAAGTCCAGTATCCTGCCTCCATCCAGCAAAGAGAGAGAATGCCATCAAGCCTGCAAAGTAGTTGCCAGTTTTGCTGAGACAAAAACATCCAAAGCCATCTGTCATTCTGTAGGTCTATGAAGAAGTTGAATGATGTTCACTGACCATGTTTAAGAGTGTTCAGCTGTTGTTATTTCCAGGCACCTTTATGTACCTACAAACCAGCAGACATGCTCCATTGATCTGAAGCCCATCCTTTCTTTCCTTCCTCTAATCTTCCTAATTTAGCCCTCAGCAAAGTTTATATATGTATATATTTCAGTCCTTTTATTATGATTTAGTTGCATGTATCAGTCCATAATTGCATTGCTAAAGAGAAACATCTGAGACTGGGTAATTTTTGGAGGTTTATTTGGCTCAAAACGCTGATGGTTGGAAAGTTCAAGAGCCTGGGGCTGACCTCTGTCTGACATGCAAAAAGGCTGACAGAAGCAGAAAGGTTGGCGAGTACATGCAGAGAGAGAAAAAGACCTGATGGCGGCTCTTAGGACAGCTCTCACTTGTGCAATAATCTGCTCTTATGGGAACTAACCCTATTCCAAGAGAGCAAGAACTCACTCTCTCTTGTATGACAACACTAATGCATTTATAAGGATAATGCCCCCATGGGCCAAACACACCTGCTAGGACTCATCTCTTAAAGGTTTCACCATTATATTAGAACCAAATTTCCAGAACATGAATCTTTGGGGGACAAACCATTATCCAAACACTGGTCTTTTGTAAGTCATAAATTTATAGATTTGTTCAATGATCATTTTCACAATGTATTGAAAGACAAGTATTTTAATACTTGTGTATTTGAGATTTGACCTCTAATCCTTCATACAGGGCAGACAGGATCTCCTAGTGAAACCAAATTGTAAAAACCCTAGACTAAAGAGGGAAGATATTGAGACTGTGGAACTCTTGCCCGGGACCAAAAGAACAAAAAAGACTACCACTAAAACAGACACATAGAAGTGGGTGTCTGGGCATGGATGGCAACTTCCCTTCCTCACTCCTATGGCCTTGGATAGTTCTTCATCACTCACCATAAGCATTTCACATGCAATTATATTGGGTCCGAAATGCTTTATATGAACATTACTGGAGAGAGATAGGAAGTAGGTCAGAGCACTTGCAGCAGCAGTGTGAGGGCCCGTGCCAGACTACGGGAAAATGCAAATCTCCTCTTAGAGCCAAGTGCATTGAATTTCAAAAACTCCTCTTTATTCTAAGATTATATCCTTCTCACTTCTGCAGTGATAATAGAAATGCTTCCTTTCTCTCTTTTCCACTTTTTAAGTAAAATATAGGTAAAAATAGATGATTGGTGTCTTCCTGAATGAATTTTCTCCCTATTTCATTGTACTACAAATTAATTGACAGCCCTACTTGGTCTACAACTTTTTCTTTTCTTCTCTTTTATTCCCCAAAATTGTGCTAATCTGTAAGATTAAAACTATGGTCTGCACTGGGTCTAATGATTTCTGGAGGGTCTTTCCAATCTTATGGGGCCAAGACTCTACTGGTAAGGAAGAAAGAACACAACCTCCATACTCCAGCTCCAAACAGGTACGGATGTGGGAACACACTTAGAGAACTCTTGTAACTTATTCAACGAAGTAAGGTAAGTCATGGCCCTTGGAATCTTCCAACTACAAAGCATAAATTTGTCAGTTTTATTTTTTTCTTAAACAAATTCGTTCTCACTGAGGATCTGGCCTGTGTGGTAGAAGACTACTTCAGTTACATTAAGCCAAGCCTTCATGAAGTTGTGTATGAATATTGGGAGTAGGGGAGATGAAGAGAAAGGACAAAATATACACATACCATGTTGCCAAATGCCCCTGGACTTTCTTTTTTTCACTTGTTTCTAAACAGATGGAGAGCTTCGGGGTCACAGAGAGAGCCAAAATATTGTCTTTATCTTTCTTAGCATTCCTAACAACCAGCAAAGTAACAAAAAGAGATAGCCCAGTAAAGGCTCTTTGCCTGGCTAAATAAACTTCAGCTAGAATGTGTAAGAACCAATATCTGGCTTAGCAACTGAACAGAGAAAGAGAGATCCAATTCCTCTCACTGCAGCTTCCCCCTCTGGTCCACCTTACTCCACTTCCCAAACATCTGCTTACATAGTGTAAAGGGTGTTTGCATAGACATACCTTGAAGAAGATGAGTCCAAGAAGCAAAAGGAAATACTGCCTCTTCTAGGAAGACTTGGGATGTACATTAATCAGAGACAATCAACACTGAAGAGATTGCTCATGAGGAGCTGATTCCTGCAGGGCTGTTAGCAAGCTGAAGACCCAGGAAAGCAGGAAGTGTAGTTCCAGAGTCCACAGGTCTGAGAACCAGAGGAGTCAATTGTACAAACTCCAGCCCAAATCCCAGTCCAGGGACAGGAGAAGATCAATATCTCAGCTCAAAAAAGTCAAGCAGAGGAAAAGAATTCTCCCTTCACCTTGTTGTTTCTTTTGGGCCATTAGTGGATTGATAATATTGACCCATACTGGGGAGAGCAATCTGATTTCCTCAGTCTATGAATTCAAATGCTAATCACTTCCAGTAACACTCTTACAGGCACATCTCAAAACGATGTTTAAGCAAATATCTGAGCATCCTGTAACTCAGTCAAGTTGATGTAAAATTAACCATCACAAGGTGCAAGGTTTGCCATTGCACATTATTGCAGAAAAATAGACACCCAGGAACAAAAACATAGCACTCCGGAGAGAAAAAGGAGAACTCTTTTATTACATCAGCAGGCACAGTGGGTTTACCACTCTGAGTCTCCGGCCACTGCTAAGAGTTGAGCACAGTCTTTTATGGGTGAATTTGGAGAGGGGCCGTTTCAACATGTTTGGAGTGTCTTATCAGGAAAATGGCTCAGTGTCTGTTGTAATACAAAGCTGGCAGCCTACTCAAGGCATCAGTTCAGGGGAGGGGCAGCTACTTTGCAGGGGAACAGAAAGTCCAGGCAGCTATCAGCTCTGGGTTTCTTCAAGTTTACTCATAAGTTCTGGGCTGCTCCACACCATGTTACAGTGACCATGTTTATTTTCTCCACAGTGAGGTCACCAAGAATTCCCTGGAAGAAATCCTTCCACAGCTGAAATGCCATTTTACCTGGAACTTACTCAAGAAAGAATGTGTCTCACAGCATCTAGAAGATAGAGTATTTAATGACATTAAATTTTTAAGTACTGAATTCAAAGCTAGAACGTACAACCTGTTGGCCTACATAAAACACCTACGTGGTGAAAATGAGGCAGCCCTGGAATGCTTACAACAAGCTGAAGAGTTAATTCAGCAAGAACACACTGACCAAGCAGAAACTGGAAGTCTAGTCACTTGGGGAAACTATGCCTGGGTCTACTACCACCTGGGCCGACTCTCAGAAGCTCAAATTTATGTAGACAAGGTGAAACACTCCTGCAAGAAGCTTTCAAATCCTTACAGCATTGAGTGTCCTGAGCTTGACTGTGAGGAAGGGTGGACGCGAATAAAGTGTGAAAAAAATGAAAGAGCAAAGGTGTGTTTTGAGAAGGCTTTGGAAGAGAAACCCAACAATCCAGAATTCTCCTCTGGACTGGCAATTGCCTCGTATTATCTTGATAAGAAACCACAGCAGCAGCTCTCTGTCAATATCCTGAAGCAGGCCATTGAGCTGAGTCCTGATAACCACTATGTCAAAGTTCTCTTGGCTCTGAAACTGCAGGAGCTGAATGAACAAGCTGAAGGGGAGAGGTTGGTGAAAGAGGCACTGGAGAAGGCTCCTGGCCAGCCGGATATCCTTACCACGGCAGCCAAATTTTACAGGAAACAAGGTGATCTGGACAAAGCTATTGAACTGTTTCTAGAGACCTTGGAACTCATACCACATGATGGCTACCTCTATCACCAGGTAGGGTGCTGCTACAGGGCAAAAGTCAAACAAATGCAGAATGTCGGGGAATTTGAAGCTAATGGAAATGGAGAGATGATAGAAGAACTGAGGAAAAATGCTAGGAACTATTTGAATCAAGCTCTTGAGAAAGGACTAACTCCTCTGCAGTTGTACTCTAATCGCACTGAGCTTCTGGAAGCAGAAGAATGTTATCAAATTGCATGTAACAAGGAGCACCCAGATACCGACAGGCAATGCCACCAGCACTATTGTGACCTTCAGGAGCATAATGGGAAGTCTGAAGACTCTGCTGTCCAACATTGTTTAGAAGAGGGTTTGCCCAGAAGCAAAAAAAAACCTGAGAATGAAGAAATGAAATACCAACTACAGAGCATAGTGGAAAATCTTCCACAAGATACACCTCATTCTTTGTATCTCCAAGGGTTAATTCACAAGCTGAATGGAGATCTGTGGCAAGCAGCCGAATGCTATGAGAAGAAACTGGGCCAGCTGCTGAAGAATGCCTCGTCAGGCATAGGCCACATTTTCCTGTCAGAATCCGAGCTGGAAGACAGCAGTGAGGAAACAGGCCAGGAGACAGGCAGCCCCACTTCCAGAGAGCCTCACAACCCCTGAACTGAGATAGCGAGAAGGGAGAGAAACCATGCATAAGAAGGCCAGGGGTGGCAGCTGTGAAGGAGAGAAGAGTGGTGCCCAGTCTGGAGTTGAGGATGGTCTTGCTGCTGTGGACTTTCCTTTGCTGTCCATGTTTAATGCATTTATCAGCACAGCGGCTAGACACAAGTATGTAAATAAGATAATGCAAGAGTATATAAATACACATTATTTGGACAACTTCCTTTAAATTTTGTTTCCTCTGACTGGGAATTAATGTAATATTTGCAATAAATTCTGGACTGATACCTTAGCTGGTTTAATGACAGGTACATTTTTAGAAAGTTGTCTCAGAATCTGTCTCCCCTATCCATCCCAGACACAGTCGTCTAGTCATGACTAATTACTAATGGAAGTAGTGCTTTGGGCCTATACGAGGCTGATCAGTTCTCAGTTGACCCTCAGTTCACCATCTAACCCCCAATTCTGCCCTTCTTGCCAACAAAACCTTTATTGTCACTCCATTTATCCCATTTCCATTCAGCCTTCTGGGCTTAGAAGTTTAGTTCTTGACTAACCCTGGCATAATTTGTTGTGTCTTATTCTGGCTTCTGTTGTGTATTTATTTCTCACCTTGATAGAGATGTTATAACTGTGCTCTTGGTAATAATGCTACAATAAATCTAAACATTTCAAGTCAGAATAGAAGTGATTGTGTGGTTTGTGGACATGATCAAGACAGTGATATTAATCCCAAAAATGCCTCTTATTGGGGATGGTGGATAATCACGCAGCTACACCATGCTATTTTTTTTTTTGAAAGTTTTGCCAGGGCCAGCAGGTGGCGTGGTGGTTAAGGGCACTGGACTCCCACATGGCTGACCATGGATCGAGTCCCAGACCTGGTGGCTTGCTTCCTCACTTTCTCTCTCACTCTATCCCTCTCTGATCAAATTTAAATAAATAAGCAAAATAAAGTTAAATAAAATAATTCTTAAAAAAAGAAAAAAAAGGTTGGGAACCAGCAGTTAGCGTAATGGCTATGTCGTTGGACTCCCACGTAGTCGACCGCGGTTCGTGTCCCGGACCCGGTGGCTTAAAACTCACGCCGGGCACATGTGCGTGCGTGCCCAAGATCCCGAGAGGAGAATGGAGGAGAAGGGATTGCGGCGTGACCATCTCCCCTGGGGGGTGATTTCTCACTTTCTGTCTCTATGTCTCCTTCTGTCTGTCTGGCGAGCGCACGCGCCCTACAGTGAAAATCTCTCAAAAAACAGTGAGAGGGAATGTGAGAAATCATCCCCCAGGGGAGATGGCCATGTCATAATCCATTTTCCTCCATTCTCCTTCTGGGATTTTGGGCACATGCAGAAATCCAGTGTGATTTTCAAGCCTCTAGGTCCAGGACTGGTAGACCATGTGGGAGTCCAGCACCTTTTACACCACGCCACCCACTGGTCCTACACGATTCTGTTCTCAACATGTCTGTCTTAGCTGTAGAGCTGACACTCTCCCTCTGTAGCCAGACCACCCTTAGACTATGGGAAGTATGACTCTTTCTAGCCCAGGAGCTTCAGTTAGGCCCAGCATCTAGTTAGCAGCTGCTGCCATTGACCAGGGTTGTTATGCACCCAGGGATAGCTGGGCAAATGCCTTCCAATAGTGAGTGAGGAACCCCAGTACCAAGCAAGCCATGAAGACAAAAGTCCTGGGGCCTGCAACAGCCCCTTCAGAACTTTAGCATCTGATACCACAAGCTTCATCTTGTTCAGATAGACAATAGGTGGACAACAAGGAGAAAGAAACTCACAGGGAACGGTCTCCTTGGACTTCAAGGTTTTCCCCTGCAGTTCATGTTTTTCTCTTTTTAGAGAGATTTTTTTTCTATAGGGCGTGTGCACTCACCAGAGAGAGGAAGAGAAACAGAATGCGAAAAATCAGCCCCTGAGTGATGGCCATGCTACAGTCCCTTCTTCTCTGGGGATTTGGGGCATGCACACACATGTGCCCAGCATGAGTTCCAAGCTGCCAGTTCCAGGATTCAAACCACAGTAGACCATGTGGGAGCTCATGATATAACCACTATACCATCTGCTGGTCCCACTCTGCAGTCTATGTTTGAGTCATTCATAAGACACAAGTATGTAAATAAGAAAGTGTGAAAGTATATAAAAAGATCATTTGGACAATTTGCTTTAAATTTCATTTTGTCTGGCTAGGAATTAATATAACATTTGAAATAAGTTCTTGATTTATTAAACTTTAGCTGGTTTAATGTCTGGAAACTTGTTTATAGATTTGTGAGTAGCAAAAGTCTATGGCCCTAAATGAGTGAGTCTCTCTGAACGTGCAATGTGGAATTCCTACCAAAAACCTACGCATAGCTGCCATGGCATGTTCACAGAGAACAATAACCTGGGATCATTTCTGAATTCAAAGATCTGCACCTGCTGGGGATTTTCAGTGTTCTGAGGCATACACCATATTAACGGGCAACTGGAGTACACCATGGTGATGACACTAACAATATGTGGGAATCAGCAAAAAGTTCATGAAAAATGCATCTTTTGTGAAAACTAGGGGCCAGTGGGTGGCATAGTGGATAAGGTGCTGGACACTCCCACATGGCCGACCACAGTTCGAGTCCTGGATCTGGTGGCTGTACTTTCTCACTTTCCCTCTCTCTGTGTGTGTGTCTCTCTCTAGTTGAATTAAAATAAATGCATGAATAAATTAATTAAATAAATAAATAATTCTTTTTTTAAAAGAAAAATATGTATGGATTTAATTTTTTTCACCCATAAACCCATACTTTAATCACATTTTTTCCATGAACTTTTTGAAGTTCCCTTATATACTGTCGACTTGAAAATTGCTAAGAGTATTGATTTTAAATGTTTCCACCACAAATAAAAGTATCGTATTATTTCCTGTGTCCCCCCTTCTCCCCAGAGGGCACATGTGCTTGCCAGAAAGAGACAGGAAGCATCTTCCTGTGGGATGTGGTCACACCATGATCCTGTGTCCTCCATTTCTCCATCCTGCCAGGATTTGAGGCATGCACACACACATGTGCAATGTGTTTTTTAAGCCTACTGGGTTGGGATTCAAACTCTACTCAGCCATGTTGGATTCAGCTTTCTTAACCACTAGGCCATGGGGCTGGCCCAGTATCTTAATTCACTAAGAAGCAAGTTGTTTTCTTTTTCCTTTCTTCTTTGCAAACTTATATAGGAATTTCTATCAGCAAATTCCACATTTAAAAGACTGCCAAAAAAAAAATAAAAAAAGAAAAGAAGAAAAAAGAAAGAACTAGCTTACTGCTCTTTTTCTGCTTAGTTTGAAAAGGATTGGGAACGTAGAGGATTTCAAGTGCTCAGTAAACCCTATAGAAAGTCAAAGTGCTCTCTGATGTCTATTCTACCCCATGGTACGCCAGTGGCTCACAGCCTGAAAGGTGAAAGATGGTGTCCGTCAGGGAGGATGCGACCACCATCAACGCACACAACATCTCTCTGCCTATGACCAAGGTAGCCAAGCTTATTGTTTAGATTATTCACTGGCCAAAGAGGCAGGGGACGAGATGAATGTTATCCTGTGTTTGGCTCATGGCCAGGAATGTCCTGGAGCAGCACACATATATTCACAGTGAAGGGCATATTTTTCTGACTTTGCAAGCACTGTGCAGACTAGAGGTGACACATGTGAGGCTAAGAGTGACTATTTAAAAAGAACTGGACTAGCTCATTCCAGTCAATACCTGGGATTCCCCAAGGTTGCTAGAGTCAGTACAGTGTTCCCTCCTTCCTTCAGTGTTTGATTTCTGTATGGTTTTCTAGGGTTGCCGTAACTTAGTATTTTATACTGGGTGACTTCCAACATGGAAGTTCATTCTCTTTGTGTTGTGGAGGACAGAAGTCTGAAAACCAGGTGTCATGGGAACCAGCAGTTAGTGTAATGGCTATGTCGCTGAACTCCCACATAGTCGACCGCGGTTCGCATCCCGGACCCGGTGGCTTAGAACTCAACGCCAGGCGTGTGTGCGTGTGTGCCCAAGATCCCGAGAGGAGAATGGAGGAGAAGGGATTGCGGCATGACCATCCCCCTGGGGGGTGCTTTCTCACTTTCTGTCTCTATGTCTCTCTCTGTCTGTCTGGCGAGTGCAAGCACCCTAAGAAAAAAAAACCTCTCCAAAAAAAAAAACAGGTGTCATCAGGCCATGCTCCCTTTGAGGCTCTAAGTAGAATCTATTTCTGCCTCTTCCTAGCAGCCAGCCTCAGTCTGTCTTCATAAGGCATATTCTCCCTGAGTGTGTCCTCGTACCACCTTCCCTCACTGCGGGTCTGTCTCCATGTCTCTGCTTCCGATGAGCCTATCAGTCATACTGGATTACCAATAACCTCACTTTCATTCTACCTGAAAAGACCTTTCCAAGTAAGGTCATAGTTACAGGTAACTGGAGTAAGGCTTCACAGCATCATTGTGGTAGACACATTTCAGTCCATTTGACCCTCATTATGCTATGGTGGGACTGGACATAAGGGAGTAGCTGGAGGCAAAAGCTCCTCCTACAGCAATGCTCCTCCAGGGTATTTAAGTCAGAGACGCATTTCTCTGTGAGAAAAAGAAGACCTGCCCAATACTGAGTTTATTCAGAAAAGTAACTTGGCCCCAACCTTTCCCTTGTCTTAATGGGAAAAAGAAACTAGAGGTATTTATTTCACTAAATTCCTCCTTGGAGAAAGGAGCAATTTTTTCCTATTTGTAATGGACCAAATTGGAAACATAAAGGTACAAGAAGGCTCCTCCTTGCCCCAGGTTGATTTCCTTTGACAGCATAATTGCTTTTGATGTACATGATCTGGTACTGGAGCACCCTGCAAACAGGACGTGTCATGCAATGTTGAGGATTATTTGAACTCGTCTAATCAATGTGGAGTCTGCTCCCTTCATGTAAGGTTCAACTGCTGAACTACAGGGATGGCCTAGTACACCTTCTTTATTTATTTTTTTAGTTTTTTTTACTATAGGGTGTGTGCACTCACCAGAGAGAGACTGAGGACAGAGAGAGAAAGAAAAGGAAAGTGGGAAATTACACCCCCAGGGGGCATGGCCATGCTGCAGTCCCTTCTCCTCCATTCTCCTCTGGCGATTTTGGGTCCTAATGCACATGTGTCTGGTATGATTTTTCAAGCTGCCAGGTCTAGGACTCAAACCTTGTAGTCAGCCAGGTAGGATGCAGCTACCTTAACTCCTGTGCCACCTGCTGGCCTGTTAGTACATCTTTTTCATTTCCATTGTTGCATTTAATGTTTCGAATGCTGTTACCTGAATGAGACACTTTATTTTACTTTCATTTATTTCTCCTCAGATACTCTTTCTTTATGGAGATCTGAGTTTCTAAACTTATAAAACCATTTTTGTACATTCTGAATAACATTTTTTTAAGTTAAGATTTTTTTTTAAGAGAGAGATTTTTGCTATAGGGCACTTGCGCTCACTGGAGAGACAGAGAGAGACAGAAAGTGAGAGGTCACCCTCCAGTGGGGATGGCCATGCCACAATCTCTTCTCCTTTATTTTCCTCCTGGGATCCTGGGCAGGCATGCACACACATCCAGCATGAGTTTTAAGCCGCTGGGTCCAGGACTAGAACTGTGGTTGACTACTTGGGAGTCCAGTGATGTAGCGATTGTGCCATCTGCTGGTCCCTAAGTTAATTTTTTTAATGTTTATTTATTTATGTGAAAGGAGAGAGAAGAGGTTTTCTTGTTTCGTTTTTCAAGTATTTTTAGTTTTTGTTTGTTTGTTTGTTTGTTTGTTTTTCTGTAAAGTGTATGTGCTAGCCAGAGAGAGAGAGAGAGTGAGAAGTCCTCCCCCACTCAGGGGGATAGCCATGCAACAATGTCATCTCCTCCATTCTCTTCTTGGGATTTTGGGCATGCACATGCAGACACTAGGCATGTTTTTCAAGCCACCATGTCTGGGACTTGAACCCTTGTCAGCTGGTGGAAATCTAGTGCCTTAATTACCATGCCACCTGCTGGATCTTCTGAAGAACTTTTTAAACAAATTCCTTCCAGGGAGGTGTGTTGGCAATGAATGACTTCAGTTTTTCTTGGCTTCTCCTTACCTTTTGAAAATGCTTATTTATTTATTAACATACAGAAAAAGAGAGAGATACAGGTACTCTTGACAGATTCTTGCTGTGCCACAGTGCTCCCCCTAGCCTCCCAGACAGCCACGAGCACGGGTGTTCACTGGTGCATCAATAACATCAGGTTGACTCGGGGTCTGAACCCAGGCCTTTCATGTGATGCCAGCATCGGGCAGCAGCACCTACTGTCTGCACCCTCACTTCTGAGCCTCTCCTTCAGTTTTAAAGAATTATTTCTGTGGATGCAGGGAATATTATTCCAACTGTCTTTTCAGTAAAGCCTTTCCTTATCTAAGTTTTATTTGTTCTATTTGACAACATTTCTATGTATATTTTCATTAGATCAGATGTAATTTCCTTCAGAAAATCATGATAGCTCCTGTTTATTTACAGTAAGAAGGCTGATGATCGTCAGATCAAGGACAGACTGGAACAGCTGAGATGTCCCTTTACATGGAACTTGCTCATTGAAGATTCTGAAGTGCCTAATTTAGAAAACAGAGTCTTGGAGCAGCTAGAGTTCCTAGACAACTCACACAATGCAAGAACCCACAACCTACTGGCCTATGTGAAACACCTGAACGGCCAGAATGAGGAGGCCCTGGAGTGCTTGAAGAAAGCTGAAGACTTAATCCAGAAAGAGTATGCTGACCACTTGGACAGGAGGAGTCTGGTGACCTGGGGCAACTATGCCTGGGTCTACTACCACATGGGCAGGCTGGCAGAAGCCCAGACTTACCTGGACAAGGTGGAGAAGACTTGTAAGAAGTTTTCAAGTCCCTTCTGTTATAGGATGGAGGATCCTTGGATGGACAGTGACGAAGGATGGGCCTTGCTGAAGTGTGGAGGAAGGAATTATGGACGGGCCAAGGCCTGCTTTGAAAAGGCTCTGGAAGTGGACCCTGACAACCCCGAATTCAGCGCTGGCTATGCGATCACCACCTACCGTCTGGAAGGCTTTAATCCAACAACAAAGTATAAAACGTCATTTTCATTGCAACCACTAAGACGGGCCCTCAAACTAAATCCAGAAAATGTGTATGTTAAGGTTCTCCTTGCCCTGAAGCTTCAGGATGTAGGAAAGAAAGCTGAAGGAGAAAAGCTCCTTGAAGAAGCACTGAGCAGCCAGTCCTCGCAGATCTATGTCTTTCGATATGCAGCCAAGTTCTACCGAAGAAAAGGCTGCCTGGATAAAGCTCTCCAGCTTTTAAAAATGGCCTTGGAGGCTGCACCCACCTCTGCCATTCTCCATCACCAGATAGGGCTTTGCTATAAGGAACAGCTAAGGAAATCTAGAGGGAAGGATCCAAAACAGGCCAGCAGCACACTAAGATTAGCTATAGCTCACTTCGAAGCTGCTGTAAAGGAAAAGCCCACATTTGGATTAGCTTACTTGGACCTAGCCAACATGTACACTAAAGGAGGTGAATACCAAAAGGCTGAGGACACTTACCAGAAAGTACTCAGCTTGCGTGAAGTCAATAAAAGCTTATTGCAACAGATTCATTTTCGTTATGACCAGTTTCAGGAACGTCATAGGAAACCAGAAGGTGATGCTAGGGCCTGCTCCTCACGAGGGCTAAATGTGGACAGGGAGTCAGATGCTCAAGGGAAAATTGTCAGTGCTTTAGAGAAGTTGTCGATAAGGCCTTCATCAGAATAAGGCTGATGTGGAGACTTTGAATCTCCTTGTGCCTGTTCAGAAATTGAAAGGAGGAAGAGCGTGAAGCCCTACTCTCTTGAGAGTGCCTGAGACTGGCTGCTAGCTTGAACCCTAACTTTTAAAATGTTAGATGTTATTCTACCTGCATCAAAACACCATGCAAATCATCCCTGATTGCTGCCTTTAAGAAAGTATAACTATAACCAAGCCATCAGAGAAGCAAACTGCTTCCAGATTGCACTTAGTCTTAGAGTTCATTTTAATAGAGTAAATCTTAGGAAACTCACTTCACAGTGAGTCTTATGGTACCTTACCTTTTACCTCCCCCACAATAGATAGAGCCTAACACTAATTAGTGAATATTAACAATAACCTTGCTGAGTCCTTTCAGCTACCAGGCTGCAGAGACGAGGAGAGGATCAACGCCACAAGCCCCCTCCCGTATGACTGGCTGAGAAGATGTTTATCAGCTCAAGCATTGCAAAGCCACACCTAGGCCTTCACTGCTTCTGGGACCAGCAGATGGCATATGGTTATGTCACTGGACTCCCACATAGTTGACTGCGGTTCGAGTCCCAGACCCAGTGGATTGAAATTCATGCCAGGTGCGTGTGCATGCATGCCCAGAATCCCAAGAGGAGAATGGAGAAGGGAATGCGGCATGACCATGCGCTTGGGGGTGATTTCTCACTTTCAGTCTCTCTGTCTTTCTGTCTCTCTGGTAAATACACATGCCCTACAGGAAAAAAGAAAAAAAGAAAAAGAAAGAAAAGAGAAAAAAAAGAAAAAACTCTAAAAAGAGAAAAAAAAAGGAGTTGTTCTGAGTCCATTTTGCTTCTTTTGTCTTGTTAATCATTGCTTATTGTTAAACTCCTTGCAGAGAACTGAAACTGGTCACTCCTCCCTGCATTCTCAGAGCAGAATCTGTCCCCTAAGCGGTGATTGCCCCTCTGAGGCTGTCAGGTCTCCCTGTGATCCTGCCCAAAGATCATGAATAACTTGCCCTTTACTTCTAGATGTACGCGCCCATTGACCCCTTCATCACACAAGTTTTGTATCTTGTCTAGTACAGCGGAAACCATTACGGACTCCAGTCTGCTCTCTTCCCCAGTGCTAGCTAGCATCATTGAATAGATTCCTTTTCTTACTCATCAACTCTTGTTTCTTTGTCAAGCAGCAAGTGGCATGGGCCCTTGGAACCAGCATCCCTGTCTGTCTCAGCACCAGTTTTCACCTAAGAAACTTAAGTTGCATAAGAAAAAGAGAAAGTGTGTGTGGGGGGGAGAACCCCACCCTATCTGAGATATACAAGTAGTGCCAGTGGTATGTCATGTAACTCTTTCCTATTTCTCTGTATGTAAGAATCTGTAGTAAAACTAATTAAGATAAATTCTTGAGTGAGTGGATTTTTGTTTTAACTCTAAGAAGCTATGAGTTTGCCTGTCTGGGTCAGGCCATAGGAAACTGCTTATGAGAAAAGATAAGACCCAAAGGAAAAGAAGTCAGAAGGCTATCACCTCTACCTACAAATAAACACCAGGGAAGCCTGTGGCCTTTTGTGAATTATACACAATTGGTGAATTTATAGATGTCACCAGCAGGTGCCTAGTAGCCTAACTCTACCTCATGCTGCCTACATCATTCACGTCGCTTTCTCTCTTCTGGTAGGCATTTTATCATCTCACATCATCACCAGAAGAAATAAAGTACAATAGCATATTTTGAGAGAATGGTCCCATAACGTTTATTACAATATATTGTTATAACTGCCCTAATTTACTAGCACTGAGTCGTCAGGAAAGTCATGACGCATCATGCATTATTGTTGTTAATCTCTCATGTGCCTAATTCATAAATTTAACTTTACCCTAGGTATATGTGTCCAGGAATAAAACAGTATATGTAGGATTAGTATTATCTTTAGTTTCTGAGGCCCACTGGGGGTCTTGGAACATACCCCCCGTGGATAAGGGGGTACTACTGTACTCATCAGGATATATGGCTCAAAGGAAAGGCAGAGAGACTGGTCTTCTTCATCTACCTTCAGCAGGGATGCATACTCCATGTGGTGTCTTCAAAAGTTCATGGAAATGAGTATTTAAAGGAAATTTAAAGAGTTATTTATTTAATTTTGTTTGTTATTATTATTTTATAATTTGTTATAAGGCATACATGCTCACCAGGGAGAGAGAGAGAAAAAAAAAATAGTGAGAAAGGAAGCTACCAGGTCCAGGACTTGAATTGCCATCAGCCATGCGGGAGTTAGCACCATAACCACTACAATGCCTGCTGGCCCCCCTGTTTTTGTTTAATCTTATCCATTCTAATTGAGATTAAGTGATACTTCATTGTGGTTTTGGTTTGCATTTTCCTTACCATAAAAGATGTTGAACATATGCATTTGATCATTCAATGTCTGCTTTAGAGAATTATCTCTTCAGCTCATTTGCCCATTTTTAAATTAGAGTATTTGGGTGTTTTTAGGTGAGCTACTTGAGTTCCCTCTATATTTTAGTTATCAATAAATCCCTATGTATTTAGTTATCTGAAGGATAGTTTGCAAATATTTTCTCCCACCCTGAGGGTTATCTCTCTCTCTCTTCTTTTTTTTTTTTAGATCTTTGCCATAGAGCACATGCCCTGGCCAGAGAGAGACAGAGAGAGAGGACAAGTGAGAAATCAAACCCTAGAGAGGAAATGACCACACCAAAATCCCTTCTTCTCCATTAGCATTCTGGGCAGGCACTCGCAGGCCCAGTGTATTTTTCAAGCTACTGGGCTTATGACTTAAACTGCGGAGTTGGCCATGTAGGATCCAGCACCTTAACCACCATGCCACCGTGGGAGCCCTGACAGTTGTCTCTTCACTCTAAGTGCTGTGTTTTTTTGCTGCGTGGAAGCTTTTTAGCTTGACAGAATCCTCGCTGTCTACTTGTGGGATAATTACAGTATAAATCTTTTTCTAATACATAGCCACTGTGAAACTTATATTCAAATTAATTATCCTAAAATCTGAAATCAAGGTCCTCATATCATTTGTTAGATTTCAAGTACTCATTAATAACCTGTGGTTAGTGGCTACCACATTAGGCAGCACAGATTTAGAACACTTTATTATAAGATTTCTCAGTCTTGGTACTGTTGCCATTTTAGACCAGGTAACTTTTTCTTGTGAGGAGTTGTTTCATACATGGCAGTCAAAATTATCTCCAGGTATTGCCAATGCCCCCCAGAAAGGCAAAACTGCCCCCAGTAGAGAACCACTCACTTAAAGCAATGAGCAGCACCAACAGGAATTTGCCAGACTCCACCAAAAGGAAACACTGCAGGTCTCCACACATAAACCCTAACTGAGCTGGAGGCTAAGGATATCTGGTAACAGACCAGGCTTCTCCTGCAGCTTGCCCCACTGCCACTTCAGGATGTCAGTACAGGGAAACCCAGGGCGTGCTTACAGATAAGCAATTGTGAAATTTCCATGACTCCATGGATGGAGCATCATGGCACCGTCTTCTCATCAGAAGTATAGCTCTTCATTTACCTTTAGGTTGGAGATTAACATGATTCAAGAGACTTCCAAGAACCTCAGAAAGTAGTGTTTCCTTTCTCTGTGCTTCCAAAGCATCTCATCTGTACATATATCAGTATAACAAAATCAAACATATACTTATGGGTCTCTTTCGCCAATAGGTAATAGTCATTTGAGAAGAGAGTTCTCCATCACTTTACCAACAGATGCCAGTAGGGTGCCAGACATACCACAGATACACATGTTTGCTTTGCTGGACCCGTAAATTACTGGTTTGCAGAACCGTTTGAACTGATGTGGAGCTCCTGAAAATAAGTGGTACCTTAGAAGCCTGAGGATACTGGGGCCAGCACATGGTGTAGCGATTACATTGCTGGACTCCCACATGACTGACTGCGGATCAAGTCCCAGACCCGGTGACTTCAAACTCACACTGCGCACGTGTGTGTGCATGCCCAAGATCCCGGGAGGAAAATGGAGGAGAAGGTGGAGGGGGAGGTGATTTCTCATTTTCTGTCTCTCTGGCAAGCAAAAATCTCTCCAAAAAAAAAACCTTTCTCTGTGCTTCCAAAGCATCTCATCTGTACATATATCAGTATAACAAAATCAAACATATACTTATGGGTCTCTTTCGCCAATAGGTAATAGTCATTTGAGAAGAGAGTTCTCCATCACTTTACCAACAGATGCCAGTAGGGTGCCAGACATACCACAGATACACATGTTTGCTTTGCTGGACCCGTAAATTACTGGTTTGCAGAACCGTTTGAACTGATGTGGAGCTCCTGAAAATAAGTGGTACCTTAGAAGCCTGAGGATACTGGGGCCAGCACATGGTGTAGCGATTACATTGCTGGACTCCCACATGACTGACTGCGGATCAAGTCCCAGACCCGGTGACTTCAAACTCACACTGCGCACGTGTGTGTGCATGCCCAAGATCCCGGGAGGAAAATGGAGGAGAAGGTGGAGGGGGAGGTGATTTCTCATTTTCTGTCTCTCTGGCAAGCAAAAATCTCTCCAAAAAAAAAAAAAAAGAAGAAGGAAGAGGAGGAGGAGGAGGCAGCAGCAAAGGAGAAGGAGAAGAAGCAGAAGCAGAAGGCTTAGAATAGTACTTGTGAAGATCCCCTACCATCTAACCAATTATCTGTACAACAGGATCTTTGAACACCCTTGAAATGCTCAGCGTTGTGAGAATAACATGGGTGTTAAGCCTTGTTCTCAGGATCTTAAATTTCAGTTGTAACTACAAAATGTTCTTATCCTCTTAACTCCTTAGATCTCAAATATTTCAGAGAAATCTAAAAAATAATACTGCACAATACCCAAATGCATTGAGACAGCAGGCTATGCAATATATTACAACTAGGTCAAGTGAGAAAATTCTCTCTAAAATGTGCGCATATACTTCCAGGTGAATTAAATCTTGATATGAAAATGAACTGAGAACAAATGGGTTGGGATTCATTCATCTAGACACAACCTCTTAGTTAACCCTTGAGGAAGTGAGGCGAATGGAAAATAATGGTCTTACCAAGATCTCCTGGCTCATCTGTAAGTGACAGAGCATATCCTAGAATCTGATTTCAGTAGGAATTTTGTTCAGTGAGAATAAATTTTCTTCTTCAGTTTCCATTGTTTTATTTTCCTATCTGCAAACTTATACATACTTTCAGGATTTTTTTTCCCCTTCTAATGGTGCTTTATCCTGCATGTCATGAGTCTGTTCTCAAAGGATATATATTGCAACTAAAACGATGTTGTCCCTTGAGTCTAATTGAGAAGAGCAATTCAGGGCATTTATGGAACATTACCAAAGACGTCCAAGCCAGAGACCCTAGATGAACTGGAACTGAGGGTGTTTTCTAAAGGAGAGACCAGACCTTATTTGCTTAACAACCAAATTTTTCCTGCCCGAAGGAACCACTCAGAGGAATTTCTAGACCCACACAATGTATTCGTATGCCACTGTATCACACTTACAGTGGTCAGTGTGAGGTTCTTTATACATACACATGTACCAACGTGAGTACCCGATCAGTCAACTCTAGAGAGGAAAAGGGTATAATCCAGCTCTACAGTT